TTAGCAAAACAAGATCTAAAGTAGACGGCTGCTGATTGCTCATGTACCTAGTGGGAGGTCCACGAACTGGTGTAGTGGTACCTGCAGCGTCAAGTCCAGCAGTTCTCTACCGAAGAATTCCAGAGTCGAACTGCAAGATAGATCATCCCAACAAACCTCTGGGAGGTTGAAGTCTCCCAGCACCAGACACTTGTTCGCAGAGTGAGTGCGTATAAACTCAATGATTCCATTTGTGGTGTTCATAGGGCTTCCATACACTAACACAACCGTAACCTGAACCAATGAAGCGCTAATCAAGACTGCGAGAGCCTCAACAGATTTGTCAAGAGACTGAAAAACGCTGGTCCTGAATACGTCGATGTGATAACTCACATACAGAGCTACACCACCCCCTTGACGGCCAGTGGAGCGGTCAGCGCGGAACAGTGCGTAGCCAGGCGGATATACTTCGCCATCTGTGATTTCCTCAGACAGCCACGTTTCAGTGAAAGCAAGTATATCTGGACGAGATTTGTCTACGAGCAGACCCACCTCGCACATCTTATTCCTCAGGCTACGCACGTTACTAAGTACTACTTGGAAAGCTTCGGCATGACCAGCCCTGGGTCGTGCGCAAGTAGCATAGGTTCTGGCAGGGCGGAAAAGGACAGCCGGCTGACCACCTGAAAACCCACTAATCGGAGACCTTGCTCGCCAGCTGCACGCCGGGCTTTTAGGTCTCTGATGGCTTCCTTTAACTTTAACATATCCGCTAACGGAAGGTCTGTTGCACACTAATGTTAGTACCTTTGGGCTTGGAAGCAAATCTCAGTAAGGCCCTGCGCTCTTCTGGGGTGGAGAGGACCACCCTAAGCAGACGGGGTCGAGGATTTGGTTGACCAACCGGAACGTTCCCCAATCTGATGAGCTTCCTGACAGTAACGCCAGGGAAACGTGGTGGTAAAAGCCTGGTGACGCAAACTTTAAGCCAACCAAGATCACCAAGCATGCGCTCGGTGGGAAGAGCGGCAGTGGATTCAGTGACGTTTCTGAAAATCACACTGCTATCTGTGTAAAAATCGCCTGGACGAGGTGTATTTACACCACATGCTCTACCATCCTTGTCACCTGGTTGTTTGACAGGAATCGGTTGGACCGAAGGCGACGGCACTTCTTGTCTCACTGAGGGAAGTGCAACACCAGGTGGTGTTTCCAAATCAGGCGCTTGCTTCTTGAGCATTATGTCACCTTCCGGTTTGGGGCGGACGGTTTGCGCGCTTTTCTTGCCCTCTTACGCTTATCCTTCCATGGCCCAGGAGCCCAAGACTCGCCTTCCATTTGGGGCGGGTCAACATTGCCGTCCGAGGCATCTGTGTCAGTTATATCCACGTGAACTGGAGCATCCGGTAGGATGAACGCCTCGTCAACGATTGGACTGACAGCAGGACAGTCCGTTACAGCGTCCACATTCGCAATATTCAGGGATTTCATAATCAAATCCACTTTAGAGTTGAGCGAGGCAAGTGAGGCAAGCTCGGCTAATGACTTCTCGACAACTGTGAATCTGGACGCTAGTGCTTTGAATTCAGAACAGGTGAAAGCCGGGAGCTTCGCTTTCTGAGCACAACAGTCAGCACATCTAAACAGAAGGCTTTCACTGGATGATAGCATCTTGTACTGATTCGCTCGGAGGCCGGTACAACTTTTGTGATACCAACGAGAGTAAACATCACACTGCATACCACTAGATGAATCCGTGACTGGCACTGAACAGGCAGAATTGATGCAAGCTGCATTTGACTCATCAAGCGAAGACGCAAAGGGTGCATCCGCCTCGGTTTTTCGAGAGACGACCATGTTGAGGTGGAAAACAGAGCAGAATTTAAAACACGTATACAACCGTAAAACGACCACAATAAAAAGGTAAAACAGGCTGTAAAACGAAATTAAAAAAGGGAACAACCGCAAAATTACCAGTAAGCATCAGGAAGACGCTTTGGTCAGTACCTCTTTAGTCGATCCAAGATATCTTGGATCAGAGGAAATTTGACAATCGTCAAATTTCGTTTCAAGTGTTTATTCAAACACTGTTTTCCACGTTATTTCAGCTAAAAATCTCGATCAGTATGGCACGCCAAAAATCGAGTTACCGCGTAGCACTCACATCTTGTTGTGCAAATCACTCCGCTGTACTACCTGCTGCAAGTTTTATTTCACTTGTTGTTCTCCAGCTTCGGTCATGAAGTGGAAGAATATCCCTAGCAGGACAACGTGGAAGAACAGGATGTGCTGCTTAACAAGTGCAATCCTACTACTAGTAAAAGTACCATTCTTATCTTGCTCCCAACTGTCTTTGTACTTTAGATACAAAAGGTTAGGCTGCATACGACCCAGAACTCAGCCTCGGTCATTTCTCGCGGCACCATTCCAGGTAGAGGTTATGTTTTACCGGCTATTCCCAGTGGGTATTTTACTCCTGGTCGCTTGAACATCACGTGACTAGCGCACTGCAGGGGAATTATGCAGTAACCATCCTATTACCACACAGGCTTCCGTAGAACATCACCCTTAGTCAGCCGACATTTTCCCAGATGTATCGAACAAGGTATTAATAGTCCAGCCAGCACCTAATCGTTACCAGTTCGAACAACTGACGCCAAAGTACAGCAACACCTCGCAGTCTTCGTTCGCAGGTTTCCTCCTTTTCTTCCATTAGTAAGTTATAGGAGCATTGAAATCCGTCATTTGGAATACAGCGAGAAGTGTTAGGGCTGACAAAGGATTGCCTTTTTGCTCCCTGCAAACCAATGAACCATTCGCCGACTTCTTCCAGGCATCCAAAAGCGACGGGGCACTAGTACAGCAAGTAGTAACTAAGAAGAGCTCCTTCATGCTATCTAAATTCGCTCCAGAGTTTATACATTGGAAGTTGCTGACTTCAACTGCACTTTAGGTTCAGAAGCGAAAATGGAAGTGCTTAGTGGTATCCGAGCTAGGTTGGACACCACGAGAATACATTGCGGGATAACAAGGTGACAATTTTATCAGAGGTTGCAATGTAGTGTATCACTGAGAAAGCAGACGGCAGCGAAGGCAAATGATATAGGGTGGTAGTGGACATAATGGTGGTATGTGATCTTACAGTAAGCTTAATTTGATAAAAGATCAATAATAGAGTGAGTGAGCGGCTCGGTCAGATGGTTTCACGGTATTCAGGAGACTGACAGACATAAACACGAATCCCGAAACTCAGCTGAGTACCCTGAATGCAATCGTTGCATAGCGGAAGTCCCCTTTACTCAAAGCTAGCATCGAACAGAGTATAGTAAACTGACAATAGGCCAGTTTCCATTTCCTTTTAAAAATAACCATTCTATCCACTAACTATGTAAACAGCTGATGAGAAAAGGCTTAATTGCTGAATTCAATAAATTCTGTTAAAAGGTTGTTTCTTCTTGTTTTATTGAAATTCTATCCACTAGTTTGTTTCATACCAGCAGATCACAAATGCATGCACGACTACAAGAAGTAGTAGCAAAAACACAATTCAGTGGAGGCGAAAATATTGGAGCAGGTGTTGCGTGCATGCATGATGATCCGCAATCACAATACATGGTTGTTTCATCGCCTAATTACCGACAGAATGAAAGTTGTTTTCCATGGCTCATAAATCTAATCCTAAATTATATGAGTGCGATGCAATCCTGAAAGATTAAGGGTAACAGGCCTAGAGTAAGATCACAGAAGAAAACGCGGCTATTACATTCACGTCGAAAAATCATTACGGCGAATGTGAAACGACCGCTCTCCTATAGGCTAGAGTATACAAACCAACAAAACTACCGCCAAAACGTGTTTAAACTGCACAGCAGTGACAATAGAAAAACATCTCCTGAGCGGAAAGACTTTTTCGTGAGCAGGCACATTGCACCTTCTGGTTTGTATTGTTCGTGACCGTGCGAGTTAGTGAGGCTGCAATTCGCATTCAGGTCGATGCAAGTTATAGAGGCTAGGAATTCTTCCAACTTCGTCTTCCATCGGGCAACCATGCTTTCGTATTTACGAATTCCTCCTTAGATATTAACACCTTACCCTGTCCGGTTTGTATTCGTGCTATTCTTTTGGTGGCTCCCCACAGCTACGTCTGGTCACTCAACTTCTAACCCTAGCATGTAATCTTCTGCAGATCAGTAGTAGGAATTCTGCATTCCTGTTCGACATGCATATCACGGAAATCACAGCGTACGCACTTGATGCGATTTGAAGTCGGTAGGTAATAGGAACCAGGTATATAGAAACGGACTGCACATGCATTGGGGGCTCAAACGCAGCTTCTGCATTTGGTCTGAAGAGATTGTCACTCGTCACTTCTTTTCCATCACAAAAGGTTGCTTGAGTACGGATCATGCGCCTATCGTCCGAGCACTTTTGAGGACGTGCAAATACTATAGACTCCTCCCCAATCTACGTCGTATCACTTACGAGGGCCGATGCAGGTGACTAGTACTGTATACCCAGTCCTATCCACTATTTCGAGTGTACCGCATAATGGCGCACCGTATATTGGTCACCTTCCCGTGCTAAAGCCACTGCTGAACGTGCAAGCACCGGACAGGACTCGCTACGGTTAAAACCTCATAGTACGGGACCTGAAATGTGTGGTTCACCCACTATATTTCGAATGGCGAGTGGTGAATTTCACTCGAAACAATAGTCGAGGCGGAATTGGCGTCGGGATTCAGGCAATTCCTATTCACCCGCTTTACGGATCTCAGATTTAGAGAGCGCATCGCGTCCGAGTAACCTATGAGGCAGCTGTAATATGCTGCAAACCTGTACAGATCGGTGAGTGATTCAACGCAAAGGTGCGATTTAACTAGCTCTCTATTCTCAGTATTCAGTATTCAGAATAAGGTCAGGTAACAGTTATTAAGATCCAGTGGTAGCAGAGTTGTTATCAACGTGAAGCATCTTGTTACAACATCAGGTTTTGTTTCTGTAATGACAACTAAGAGTAAGCATTAACCTAAGAAACATGACAAAGATAGGTATACCAGGATATTCCTGAGTAGTCGTATGGGACGACATAACATACCTGCCAAAGGTTGTACATCGTAACAGGGATGATCCTGAACTTTCTTGATGGTGTATTCAAAATCAGTGCTCGCAAAGGAACTCAGTGGAATTTTGCATCTCTTCCTAGGTGATGAAAGGCAAAAATGCCATTTAACATGCATTATGGCGTAACCACAAGCTTATCCATACGTATTCACGGCAACCTCCTAACTTATCAGATATGTTCTAGGCCATAACGTTAACCTAAAAGACAAGCATCTTGCTTTATGTCTGTTTCCAAATTTAAAGTTACATGGTTTAATTTACCAACGAAATAAAGCCTACAGTAACTAGTTCTGGTCTGTACTCCGGGCTGAAGAATTTCGTTGTAGACGTTTCATCACCAATCCAAAGGGCTTAGTGCGTAGTAGGCAAACTGAATGGTTCGTCGACCCTTGACAAATGGGTAATTGATGTTTCAACTTGACTACTTCGATTCACAGGCTTGGACCATTGCTAGTTTGCAGTTCAACCGCCGATACTTTGTCTCAACTGACGCATGATCCGTCTAAATCCTTTCTTTCGCAGTTGATGGTAAACCGGATCTAAGTTAATGAGCAGGTTTATTGACCTCTTCGTAGAGAACCACATCTAGGGGAATGCCCTTCTTTTCTTGTTTCTCGCTGTGCTAGGACCTCCGTTTTCTTAGTCAAACATGTGCCCTTCCTCATCAATGCGTGTCGAGACCAAGGATGAGGAGTAATGATTTCGACACGTTTGTTTGTGCTTTTGTAACCTTATAGATAATTTCCTCTCCGTTTGATCCACGTACTGTTTATCACAATTCTTACACTGTATGCTGTAAACAACATTCCGGCGTACGCGTGCTCTCGTTTTCCTTTCGGTCTACACAGGGTTCCTTTCAGGCTAGCCATTCGTATGTGATCTAATATCAGGTGGCGCTTATTACTCACTGAGGAAGTCAACTCGATTGGTGATGAAACGTCCACTACGAAAGTGCTCCGTTCGGAAAACAGGCCAGAGCATTTACAGACAACTGGAGCTACAGATATTCCTATTGAATTCAAATATTATGGGCCCTCAACAATCTGTACTGCTCTATAATTGGAGAATTTTGCCTGCAGGCATATCTCAAATCGGCACTAACTTGATATCTTGCAAGACTTCATACGAAGTGACCTCCATCGAGTTGTGAACTACAAGCTGCCGATAAACCAATCGCATGCATAGGGCGTTGCAGAGCAATTTGGAAAATGCATATTTTGGACGATGATTTAAGGCGCTCACGATGGCATTAAGAAATATGAGAGTTGTTTACATGGACACAGAGCCGAGTGTCTGCAAATCGGGGGACAAAATCTGACAGAACAACTAAGCATCGCAATAGATGGCAGAACAGCAAAGATTAGAGCGACGAAGCAGGCTGCTTAGTAAGACAAGTTAGCAAAATTAAGCGGCTACAAATGCGAAAGTGCCAATGACAGTTGGGTCAAGAATCTGTCCAACCGGAGGCTCGGTGATGCTGAAAGGCAAGTACTTATTACAAAGCAAAACTATAGCTTCAAAGACTCCAGACCCATGCAATTTCTTGCGGGATTTGGGAATGTTTTGCAAGCCAATATCTTTGTCGAGGAGACGAAAATGTAATGAAAACGTGAAGTTGTCCCAATTCTAATGCATAAGACGCAACATAATTTTTATCACGGCAAGACTAAAAAGCAATAACATAACATAACAATAACATAACGATGAAACTATCGTGATCCTGCCTGCGGACAAAGGGTGCATCGTTCTTTTAGTGGATTAAACAGGCTAGGTTGAAAAAAGGGACCTCCTGGGAGACAATGCAACATAGCGCTACTTAGAAAACGGGGTAACAGTACACTTAACAAACAACATAAATAAGACCTTAAAATGAATTCAGGATTTGGAGCAACTCACAATGGAGGAGCTCGACAGAATGAAGGCTCGGGACTCAAAGCTGGTGCACCGCTTCGACCAATTGCGTCACTCCCTGATAGGCACACATTTAACTAGGCTAACGTATTATGAAGGCGCCTTAAACACCTGACTAGTGGATTGCGATATTCTATAAACAACGCTCAGCAGTTTGTAGCGAAACTTAAAGGAATGCCGATCGGTCATGAAGAAAATGGATGCCCATGGACGTTTGTGCACTGTTCACTTGCGCCAATGTAAATCCACTGATAAAACCTCCCAAAGTGGGCAATCGTACTACATCATGCCTACGCAGATCATGCTGCCATCAGTCCTTAAATACATATCTTTTACAACTGTATGTGTGCTAAAACGGCTGATGTACTCACGCGAATACAGCTCCTCGGGCTCGGACGGCATTCACCCGAATGCATTGAAAATTGGTACCTTGAGTTTAGCTGAACAGTTAGCCATACGCTTTAAGCCATATCTTAACATGATGAAGGTCCACACTATGTGGAAACACGGGATCATCACTCCAAGTTACAGAAGTGGTAGCCTTGCAGAACCAGTAAATTATCGCCCGATAACAATTCTTCCGGTGATATCCAACATCATCTAGTCCATTGTAGCTGAGTCTCTCATGGGGTCCTGAAGAGTAACAAAATTCTCGTTCTTGAGCAGCACCGATTTCACCAAAATTGGTCCTGCTCCACTAATCTGTTGATAACTCATGTAAGCTGGGCGTAATCTGTGGCTGCTGATGTAGGAATAGAGGCAGCCTACCTGGATTTCTCAAGGGTATTCGACCGCCTGGAACATCGCGTTCTACAGCACGAAGTCCAGACTTATGATGTCGGCGATCCCGTTCTGGGATGTATAGACGACTTTCTCGTTCAACGTCACTTGAATATGAGGGTTCACAGTACCCTGTCGAAACCAATCAAAATTCAGTGCGGCTTATTTCATGGCTTGGTACTCGGACCCACTTGTTCCAGGTCTGCATAGATGATCTTGAATGCGTGCTGGCTTCAAACTGCCAGCCTTACGTCCTTGGGAGCCTTAGGCTTACAAACAGTTGCTTTTTCCACACAGACTGCCGGTTTGGTCGGGCTGATCGCGACAGCCTTGGCGAAATGTAAGAAGCGGGTGTTAGCTTGTCTCAAGAAGATTGAGAATGTTGTGATAGGGTCGAATGGATGACAAGCGGCCAAGAAGTGTCTAACTATGGATGAGACAGGTGGCACTCCTGGAAAGGTGGTGGACGAAGCGGAAGACTGGGTACTTTCTCTTAGGCACATGTCCCTTTAATCTGGAATTCAAAAGTCTCCAGGTACGGACGACGTAGCGTCACCCGCAGCAACAAGTGAATAGGCAAATGCAACGTGAATTGGCGCCGACGGGTTGGCTTTCATTAGTTGGGGGAACAGGCCCTTTGCTAGTTCGGTTAATAAGGACAGGTTCGGCAGCATAATAAGTCCTATGAACAGCAGTAATTATGCGCTTGGCTGTCCTCATGGTGGCAAAATCATCTTCAGACGGTATATCTATAAAGGTTGTCAGTTTAACCTCAGTGAGGACCTTCTATCTCGCCCCACCCGTGTGGATATATTTCGCAATAAACCGGCAAAGATTACCGTTTTTCAAAAGCGCATTAGTCAACAGCTCCTGTTCCTCCTTCAGGCAATTAGGGATGCATATTCTTCTCGCGCAAATAAAAAACGTCTTGACTAGTGTTCGATTGTACCGCATTGGTAAATGAACCTGTTCGTAAGCCTTAGGCTCCCATATACTTAAGGGTAGCATATCTGTCCTCCAGCCTGTCTTTATCATATCTGGATACTTCCTAGCTGTAGTTCTATATATTTCTGTTATTGTATTGACACTGACGAGACATTACGAGATGGTAGCATCTGCCATACTTCGTCTTCTCACTGCGTTATTTAAAATAAATATTGATCGCTTTTGATTCGTTGGGAATCATATTTCCACTTAACGGTCATTAGGCGAATGTACGTGCTTGTTTCAGATTTGCTTATGGGAATCGCTTAAATTTTCAACCGTAGTTAGGTGTCCACAGTGTTGAAACATCCTTTCACTTTACTGAGTTATTGGGCTGCTATCACGGGAAAAACCTTATGGTCGCACCACGCCGAACTGCCCCACTCCATTTCGACGTTCGTCGCACCTACTGTGGTCATTCCCTTTCTCTTCACACATTCCTGTGCGTGCGCTCTTTCAAACCAGTTCGACGAGCCATACTCAGTGATTCCCATGTCTGGGATCTAACGCGTGTGGATCATACTGTTGCTCTTATTTCCTGTTATGGAACATTCTTTGTCTAAATCAACGTGCGTAACTCATGGCTGTTCAAGAGTATTTTTGATCGCATTCGGAGGAATAACCTGGGAACTCTAAAGCAACCCTGCGATTATTCTTGCAGCCTGCAGCATAACAAAGCCACGGCACATTTTGCGCCGCTCATCCAATAACCATCTTATTGAAAACACTTAAGGCCGCTTGTTATCTTCCGCTTGCATCATCGCGTAACGCGAGCTGATCAGTAAACGCCACATTTTCGCATATACACAACAGAGAGCCAACTAATCGTTGAATCCAACAATCTGTGCACGGCCGCGCGGGAATTTGTGAGGCTGTGACAGTTACTTGTCTAGGCCATCTGACCTTGGCTCCAGAACAAGCAATCTAGGGTCCACGGTTGTTCTAACGGTCAACACATACAGAGTTACACCTCCGGAGCCTCAACAATTCCACCAAAGAAAGGAAACACTACCAGTCGTCAGCAATTGGCTGTTGTTCTCAGATCTCGTCGTCATTCCTCTCATCCATGAAGAAAGAGTTCTACAAGAATTTCATACTGGCCACCCGAGAATAAATCGCATGAAATCGCTGGTACGAAGCTATGTGTATGGGCCCCATATAGATTTTCAAATCGAGAAGTAAACAAAGAATTGTCCCCGATGTGCCAGTGTATCTAGACAGCCAAGAAAGAAGGAATTGCAATTCTGGTCAATACCAACGGAACCATGGTCAAGGGTACACCTCGGCTTTGCGGGTCCAATTGACGGTCATCATTTTCTGATCGTTGTCGATGCCCACAGTAAATAACTAGAGGTGATTCCAATGGTGAGAACCACCGCAGCAGCCACTGTCTCTGCTCTCCG